TCACACATACACTCAATCTTTTCTCAGCTGCAGCTCCACCGATTTCTCCTCCCTGAGATGGCGGGACGCGGCGAGGCTGTGAGTTTCTGTGTGAGCACACACACTGACTCCCAACCAGGCTGCAGGTGTGTGTGTTCGGGCTGGGTTTCGCTGTGTCTCGCTGTCTCAAAGACGGACACTGGGCTCACAGGGGGGGGCAGGACCTCCAACAAGCCGTTTAGGACAGAGAGTGAATACACATACTATACAGAGATGCTGTATGAGAAACCAATGTGAGTTTGGAAAATTGCACAATATAAATCTATTCTAGTAGACCTCAACAATGGAATTATGATCAGTAGAAATGGCCATGACATGGGACCTTGCACAAGGTAAAGTTAGCCCATGTGTATTAACTGACCTCTCATTACCAAGTTAGTAACACCACCAAGGGCATGAAAATAGGTTGTTTTAACTTAGACTACACAGTGAATACTGTTTTGTTTTTATTCAAATGATTAGGACAGTACATAAAATATACACGACTGCTACTAAAACAAGTTCTCAAATAATAGAGACAGCTCAAAATGAAAAGTTCAGTTTTTTAGAGATGAGAGACAAAAACATCTGCCTGTCATAGTATATTAATATATTTTTTTAAATGCTCAAACAGGACATTTATTCTGTAGGCTTTAAATATATGAATAATGTCACAATGTATATTGTTCTATTTGTCTTACTTGTAGGGGGTTTCGGATGTGCAGGGGGAATAACTGGCTGATTTCCATGTAATTTGATTTTGAGTAGTAAACATACTAAGTTGTGTGGTATGAATAAAGGTATAAAATAACATAACAAATGTGCTTATTTGTATTCCACCCTGCGCTATTGGTAAACCATTTCTCTGGCTAACCTCAAACTTTTCAATTAACCTTCATAACATTCTCCAGCAGTCGTTGCATAAAAACATTTGTGAACCTGATCCTACGTCATCAAACGCTGCCGGAAGAAGGTATGTCACGTGCGGTAGAAACTAGAAAGCTCCAGATCAACATGGCGACCTGCATGAAGATGCTCGGCGCTGCTGGACAGCTCCACAGAAACTGGGCTAGTTTAATGAAATTAAAATGTCCCGGCAGCAGCAGCGGCATCAGTCGGACCCTATGGACCGACACACCCGCACCGAGCCTGCTCCAGCCCCCCCGGTTCTCCTCCAGCTCTCCGCTCAGCTCCGCGATGACGGCTGGCTGCAGGCTGACCGTCAGACCTCACCGCTGGATGCGGGTCGGTGCCGTTCTCCATGGACGGACCGAGCTACTCTCAGCGTACTCTCCACCTTACTGGGTCCAGGACAGGATGTACGGGAACCGGGCCGGCGGTGCGGGGTTCTCCGGGGACGGAGGGGACAGTACCGGCTCTGGGGGAGAGGAGTCCGGGGGAGAAGGGGGAGTACCGTATAATGGACCACAGATGACGGCTCTCACCCCCATGATGGTCCCGGAGGTGTTTCCGAATGTCCCGCTGATCGCTGTGAGCAGGAACCCGGTGTTCCCCCGCTTCATCAAGATCATAGAGGTGAGGGGCTGTGCTGCGTTCAAGGACACGGGATGATGCAACCACACAGCAACATGTAATCTGTGGAGGAAAACTCATCATCTCTCTCTTAGTTTATCTTAATGTCTCTATGTGTCTCTTTCATGTTATATCTGACTTTCTCTCTCTAAATAGTCTATATGTCTCTCTTTATCTGTCTCTCTCCTATTTTATCTATCTATTGTGGATGGAGACTATTATGACCAAACATGTTTGGTAGGCTACATCAGATATTTCAGCAGAAGACCAAAGCTCCTAGGTCTGTGTTTTCAGTGCTGAGTCGCAGTGTGTGATGAGTGTGTGTTTGTTGCTTTCAGGTGAAGAACAAAGAGCTGATGGAGCTGCTGAGGAGGAAGGTTCGTCTGGCCCAGCCGTATGCCGGAGTCTTCCTGAAGAAAGATGATAGGTAAGTGGAAACATGGCTGCTGTGATCACTGATGGTCGGAGCTTGAGCACTGTTTTGTGTGAAACTTCAGTGTTAATTGGATCGCTTGACTGTATGCTCAACATTTATTTAGTGGGAATGCTGTTAACAGCATTCCAACTAACTGTTATTCTACGCACGAAAAGTTTATTATTCCGCCGACTTATTTTGCCGCGCTTCTCCTCCCGCATTGAACATCGCAGAAACTCCGTTCAAACATCAAAACGTTCAGCTCTGTCGGGAATCGATGGCTATTACTTTTCTCATTCATAACTTTCATAATTCCAGAGGTGCATCCCATAATACATCACATTTTTAACATTGAAGTGAATGGAGAAATTCAACACTTCAACAAATCTTCATGCGACTTCAACTGCTAACTGTTCATTCATACTTTCACTCAGAAACCTCATTCTAACTTTTAAATGTTACACGAACAATGTCAGAAAGATGTGTAACACAGCTTTTAAATCTGATTCTTACTTTTAGAGATATTAAACATTGTTCAGATCTTGTTTCAAAGGTTTTCTTCACATTTTAACATTAACTAGAGTGTTTGATGTCACAGCTAGAGTGGAGGACAGCTTGAAATTCGCATTCATATATTTTTTTAAAATTCCTATAATTCCCAAACCCTACATTCCTGAGACATAATTTATCATGACAAACGTAGGAAAACATCCCGTAGCTTGAAAAATGACAAATAATTAAGCAAAAATAATTAAACAAAGTGCCTCTTGAGGGCATGAAGTGACAAAAACGTTCAACATTCCTCCATTAAACCCCATTGTAATTTCAGGCAGATATTTCCTCACGGCAGCAGCCGCACACCTTTAGTTAATCTGCCAAAAAGGCCACATTATTAACCCGAAACTACACAAAAATTACACTTCAGATGCTCAACTTCCTTGACATGCTTCACGTTTTGAAATTTCACAGATATCTGTTAAGGTTCTTCCACAAAACGTTCACATGTAAGAGTTTATCTCTCATTCAGAACAATGCAAACCTTTGATCTCTACAGAGCTCGTTAGCTCAACTATAAACACCTGTGTCATGGAACACGATGATGTCATCGCTCCAACTGACATGCTCAGAGCAGCAGACTTCAGATAATGGTTAATGGTCCTGCCCTCAATGGCTCTACGTCAATTATGGGGTCATCATCATATGTCGAAGAGAGAGAGAGAAGAGAGAGAGGGCGATCAAGAGAGAGAGTAATGTAATAAAACACGGTTTTCTCATAACTTCAGTGAAGATGCTCCAAACAGCCCAAAACTTCACAGGTTTGGTAACGATGCAGCCACCAACGCATCTAAGTGTATTATGGGATGTCATCAAATGCCGTTGGCATGGCGACCGATCATTCGCCATAAAGTTAGTTCAAAAGTTTGCAGTTCAAATATTCTGCTG